TAAAAAAGGAGAGCTCGAAAAGCAACAGCGGTGTGAAGGCTCCTCCAACACCAACATCAACTTCAGACCTGACAGCAGTGGGTTCCCAGGCTGTGTGTCTGGGCGTGGTGCATTCGCTCTGCTATTCCGGAGAGTGGCGCACTAAAAAAGGAGTCAACCGAGCCAAGAAAACGACCCGGTGTCGGACCGATTGTGGTAACTTCAAAAGTAAGTTGATTGCAGCTGTGCTCTGCAAATAACTCTCAAGGGCCGTGAGGTTCTTCAACCTCATCAGCCACAAAAGTTCTGTGACCGGTGCTCCTAAATGGTAAGCATAGATCGCCCCCCCGGCTCTTAAAGTGCCAGGGGTCAATCTCCACGAGGTCTCGATTCGGAGAGCGAGCAGTAGCTTGTCCCACCGACGCCGATATGTCGACGGGGTGGCAGGGTACAAAAACTCAGTAGGAGCAAGTGGTCCAAAAACTCGAGTTGCAGCGCAGAGAGCTAAATCATCTGAGATCCTAGTATGTTGGATGACTCCCTTCCCTCGGTAGCTGGTCTTGGACTTTTCGATGTGCAGAAAGGCGGAAGGACACTCAGAACCTGTCTCGGTAGGCAGCAAAAGGTGCTGGCGTTGTGCATTGAGCGGCTCGCTGATGCGCAGTTTTCCATGGAACGCTAACAGTGACAAAGCTGCCCAGCGTCGCCAGCTCCACTGCCATGCCAAAGCGATCATCGCATCAAAGATCACTTTTGGCATAGGAGGTCGGTGTTCAACAGGTTGAACGCGCTCCTAACGCGCTATCAGATCCCAGGCTTCAGCTAGCGGGGAGGGAAGGTAGGAAAGTTCCGCTGGTAGAAAACAACTAAATGCCGAAAAAGGTACAGCGGCTGGTGCAGCGTGTACAAATGCCGACCAAAAGCTCGGAGAAAACTAGCTTTGAGTTCAGGCCGAGGTTCCAAAGTCTGCCAGACTATGGGGCTCAAATTTTCACGAAGCCAATGGTCAAAAAGTGTGCAAACACGTTGTTGAATGAAGATGGTGTGAGAGGACAGGAGTTGAACGTCTTCCAAATCAACCAGTGGCCTGGGCCGTCTAGGTCGGGGTCCTGGCTTCACAGCTTCTCCAATCCGACGATTACACTTTGCACAAGCAGCTATATGTCCAAGCGCTGCCGGCGCTCAGCAGGCCTCAAGTCATCTTCCAGAAACAGTGCTAAAGCATTGCATAGCCTGGCGGGATAGGCCTCTGCCACTTTCGTCCAAGGTTTGCGATGTTCTGACGAGTAGCCTTTAAGCTGAATGTGCGGCCGAGCAGCTCCACATTGGCAAAACAGTTTTTTCACCAGCCAAGGAACAGTTTGTAAGGAATCTGGTTCTTTTACGCCAAGGAGCTCCCCACATACAAAAATCTGTAGTGAAAAACCCCACTTGCTTGCAGCGGCGGATTTCCTGCCATTCCGGTTGGTCCCAGAGATAGGACATCCAGGGATTTTCCACGAGCACTAGTATGCTAAGGTCCAGACAGTCTTGAATCACACTTGCCAGCCATTGAGAAAACAAGTTTCCTTCAGCTACTTTGCATGCCATGTTGCAAGTCAATGAAGCGAAACCCCGAGGTTCTGATCTGCTTCGAACTGGCGGTCGGACAGCTCGAGAAAAACTGGAGCAAACTGGTCCCGCGGTGACCACCCTGAAACATCCTGCTGCTACTAAGTTTTGGACTTCAGCTTGCGTCTCTTCTGCTAGCAAATCTTGGCCCGGGCCATGCAGAATGTCATAGGTCAAAACCCAAGTGTTCAAGTGTCTCGCCAGAGCTCGGGCAAGACCGCGTGACCCGGAAAAAAGGTCCAGCACTCCCTTGCCATTCAAAGCAGTCCTCCGTTGAGACGTGGACCAACTCTTTGGAAAAACTAGGCCGCGATTCCGAAAAACCCGCCAAAGCTCTCCGTGCTGCTGGAGTCAGAGATCCCCAAGCTGAGGCCGACCAAAGTCTGGTCTGAGCAGGCTCATGCTGCCCTGTCACTGTGCGTTTTGCAGGGGGGAGAAACATCTGCTGCTGGAAATTCTTCCGACGCAACGCGCGCGACGACTCCAGAAACTTTGGCTCGAGGTCACCACCATCGTGTCTGGGCAGCCGAGCTAACACCGCTGCATCGCAACCGTTTTCCTCCAGAAAACTATCCAGTGCCCTGTAGTCCCCAGCGAAAGCGGAGACCAACCAATCAGGTGTGGCATGAACGGGAGAGCGCAAGTCTTTGTCTCTAGTAGGGTCGTCTGCTGGGTTGTCGGCTGAAGGTACATACTGATGCCCAGGATAAATATTGTAAGCTAGAACAGTAGGCAGGTGGGACTTCAACATGTCGTTCATACTCACTGAGGAAGATCTCCCTTTTACCACTGCTCCCAAAACCACTTGAGAATCAGTTGCAATGGCGCATCGAGAGGCTGGTTCAACCGTGGCATGTAACGTTTCAACTGCTAGCAAGCTCCTCAACTCCTTAAGGTTTATATGCTGTGCAGCAGGAACACGATGACAGAAAAGAGGTCTAAACAGTCGAGTCCTCATCAGCTCCGTCCAAAGCGGGTGAGCCTGCAACGGCTCTTCGCTTCCAGGCAACTCGTCGTCCGGCAGCAGGTGGCCTAAGCTCCGCTGGTAGGACTTCCAAGAGACAAAAGGCGGGACCAGACCGACCGGGTCATAGTGTGCCTGGAAAGTTCTTGAGCGAACTCCTTCGTCAACGATGTGGCCACCCCCGCAACCTTGAGGTCAGAGGCGTCAACAGCATACAACTGCAGGGAGGAGGGGGCTTTGAGGTCGCTACAAAACAGGGGAGCCAACCCAACCAACGTCCAAAGCTCGGCCACCAAGGGTCCAGGCATGACCTTGAATGACAGCGAAGATCGTGTCTAATAGGCACATAGCCCGCTTCCTGCTCTGAATGATTGCTGTCCAGGCGCCTGCCAGTACCTCTAGTAAGTGGCGGGACGCGACACCTGCCCGAGCAACTCTCGCAGTCACAAAGCACATGGGAATGACTCGGTCCAACTGGCCCCGTACCAAACAGTCATGTCCTGCGACAGAGATACCCCAGAACTGGGGGTTTGATTCTGCGCGGAAACGCTTCTTCGAGTTGGCCTCCAGCCCCACATCATCATATACTTTAGCCATGGCATCAGCCACAACAGAAGAAAAATAATCCTCAGGTCTTTGCTCAAGGGGGACAGCTTCCAAACAAATGAAATCGTCGATGACATAGCCTACAGACCACAATTGTCGGGGGATACGCCCTCTCATAGTGAGCAAATCACTGAGGCGGACTACACCGTGCATTAGGCCCAGCCGAACATGAGACTGCTGTCCAAACTCCACCGAGTTCAGGTCGCCCATGGCCATGGTGGCCAGAGCGGGGATCAGCACCTTTGCTGACTTGTCCGCCCAGCGGTAAGCGCCTCTGAAGCGCTTGGCCTCCGCACGAGTGAGCTGCATAGCAATGGCGTTCCGTCTGGCTCTTTGGGGGGTGATGACATAGTAGTAGTAGTCGTCTTTCAAATCTTCACCAGCTGCAACAATCTTATGACCTGGAGGGACATGTAACCCAAGGATAGGCTGCAGAGATCCCATAGTCTGAGTCCACAAATTTAGTCCGGGCTCTAACAAATTGGCCGGGCGACAATCGAGAATCAAGCGGTCAGCTTCGAGATTTTTCATCAGAGCGAACACTCCGGCCCGATGCCCCATCCGGATTTGCTCCGGAGTAAAGAGCGCCAAACGGGAAGTGTCATCGAGGGCAGCTAACAAGCCAAGGAGTTCTTTTCGAGGTCCTCGTGCCTTGACAGCCGGAACATCCTCTAAACACTCTGACGCATCAACTGCAAAGTCCAGTGGTCGTCTGTAAAGGGACCGGGCAGGCTCAACCAAGTAGGGAGTGGGGTCAAAGTTCGGTTTGCCCTTGAACACCAGGCGCTGTGCTTCAATAGGCTTTGCCGCTTGGATCTCCTCAACTGCCACTGCGTGCTCACCTCTGCGAGCAGCAATGCTAGGCCCCTTACCAGACCCGGAAGAAGGGGAACAAGCAGTAGCAATCCTCTCGAGGTCTCTGACCATCACTTCAAGCGACTCAACCTTCCCAGCTGTCCTACCCATGGTCTCTGCAGTGACATCTTGAAACAATAGCCACTCCCCTGACAGATGCTTCAAACGACCCACAATGAGGTCCTGCTCCTGTGAGAGAGGGCAAAAAGCCGAGTACCGCGAAGGCCAACGAAAGGGTTGTCCCAGTTTGAGCCAATTCAGCAAAAGTACCATCACGTTTGCGCACGACTGCCAAGCTGCAGCATCTTCATTACTGACAGCCTCACAACCCTGGACCCTCCCAGGATACGGCAGCGGAACCGGCCACACCGGCCGGGGGGTGGGTGGCGTTGCCTCCCAACTGTGGCTATGGAGAGCTGAACGACAAAATGAATTCAAAGCTCCACAACGTGAGTGGAGGATCCAGCGCATCAGCGCTATCCACAAAGGGCGGGCATTCACTGTAGAAGCAGCAGCGCCAGGAGGGCGCCGGACGCGGTCATCGCCACATGCCGGATCATCCAAGTCTGCCACCTTCTCAAATTCAAAAACTTCCTCTGGCTCATGCACACTAGCCGCGACTTCCCTGCCCAACGTCCCACCGACTGGACCATCGAGAGACGGCGCTGCACCAGATCAAAGCCCCGGACCGAATACAGCAGTACCGGCGACTCCCGAAGGAGACTCGGCCCGCTCAGACATAGAAGAGCCCGGCACAGGTACTCCGACCCAGTGACTGACTGCGCACGTCTCCTCAGCCGGCGAGGACGAGGAGGGTACTACGCGGCTTCTTTGTCTTTCTGCCCATCCTTGCCAGTGTCTCCCGATCCAGAGCCTTTTCCTGTGGCTTTGCCCTTGGCCGCCCGTTTGGGGGAGAGGCCCTTGGGATCGGGCGCCGGCGCATCCGGAGTCTTTCGAAAGGCAAGCTTCTTCTTCTTCTCGCTCAACTGATCGATCTCGTTCAGGTGATGAAGAAAGAGATCCATCCACCGGGCATCGATCAACTTGGTAGCAGGTAGCTCGCTGTCGGTCGGCAGCGAGTGGGTAGCGAAAGCTGCAAACGGGGGTGGATCCTCCAATGACATCGCTGAAGCCACTATCCAGTTGCCTTTGTCGATCGACAGTTGATCTCCTTGACACAAAAGCAAACAAGCCCGGGCACGGGCTTCTGAGATGCGGTCGTCCCGCAAGGCATCTAGAATACCTGCAACACCCCACAGGAAGGTCACTGGCGTCTTGAAGTTCTGAACCTTCGATCGAGTTTCGAGCCACCCCCTTGCACTGACTGGCACGAGGGGGGAGCCAGGGATCATCCTCACCATCGAGAAATCCTCCTCCATATTGCGCTCGATCACTTTGTAGAGCTGTTCTGGATCGGAGATCAACGTCTTTCGCAAAGCCCTCAGAGCCGCTGCATTCTTCCGAGAAGAAGGCAAGCTTGAGGAATCCGAGGAACCCTGAAATCCAGCACCGTCGAGGAGAAACTCTAGGGAGCTCTCCTTCTTCTTTTGACCAGCCAGGTGCTGGGAGATAGCTGTCAGCTTTGTAATTGCCGCTACCATGGGATCCACCCCGGAGTCTTCCCCCGGCTTTTCTTCAAGCTCCTGTGCCAGCGCTTCTTCCTCACTCTCGGACAGCGGGTCCTTGCGCGCTGGGGTCCCACGCGGCAGGTCTGGCAACTTAGGCTTCCCGGCATTGACCAAGCGAGCCATCTCCTCTAAGTGCTGGGCCGGAATGCCGGCGGTCAAAGCAGCCTGAGCGACTGCTGGGTCCAGACCTGAAATCGTAGCTTTCGATGCTGCTTTTGGCCGAGTGGCAGGAGGCGAGCGAGGAGCGGTCGCAGGAGCTGCAACTGAAATGGTACTCAAACGGTTCAAAACAACTTCCAGTTGCTCACGGATACCTGACAGGTTCGACTCTAGTGAAGCCACTCTGTGCTCCATCCCTGCTTCGACTTCGTGAGGCACGGATTCAAAAGAACTTGTGGACGGGCGAAGAACAAAATGCTTCTCCGCACATGCAATCAATTCAGTAGCCAAAGGAAGAAAAAGTTCATCATCATCGTCAAAGACAACGGACACCTCGGCTTCACTAGCTGCTTCAAATGAGATGGACCCCACATAGTCCGCAGCAAGCAAGCCGAGCCATAGTTTTGAATTCACTGTCTCCGCTACTGGGTTTCGAGCGGTGGCAAAGGGAACATCACATGCAACACTCTTGGTCATGAAGGAGGAGGGCAGGAGGCGACGAGCGACTGTGCGGTGCCAAGCCTTGTGCGGCACAGCAACTAGGAACTTTCCCGACACCTCACCCACAACAATGATGGCAATCCTGAGCTGCTCACCTGACGAGGCGATGACTTCGCATACCCCCATCGGGTACTCAGCATCAACAGCCGAATCCCCCCCAGACCAAACTGCACAGCTGCGGAGAAGGTCAGCCCCGGTGAGAGGCTGGCCGTCCACATCCTCTTCGTCTGACATCGCGCTCTAGGCAGGCCACTGGAGGCCGGCCTGGCGCACAGCTACCTGCGCTTCCCAAAGGGTTGGGAACCCAACGAAAATCGAGTCGCCCAGAAAATCTCCGTCTCGCACGTGTGGACGAATGGCCGCAAAGGAATGGAATACCTGAACAGGGTTGTAGTCCTGACCAGAGATGTCTCGGGCTAGGATATAGACCTTGGATGGCAAGCTGATCTGCTGCCTTCCTGAGGGGCCCCGATTCGTTCCGTCCAAGTTGCGACGGATGAAGTCACCAATCCCTGAAGCCACTTCCCGCCTGAAATCCTCGGTATACTGCCCAGCGGACACGCGACCAGAAGGGGTCGTGAGCACTGGAGAGACAGGCTGTTGAGCTCCCGCAGAAAGGGAAGAAGCCGGACCTGCCTCAGTCAGCTGCCTCAGCCTGGATGTAGTTCACAGTCACGGGCACGACAGTAGACGGTGAAGGAGTCGGCGACCGATCGGAGGAGGACACTTGGCTTTCCAAAACCGAGACCCTGTCCCGCAAAAGAGCTAGCTCACTCAAAACCTGGGAAAGCTCTTTGGGGGGGATCTGGCCCCTCTGTCGAACAAGCTGAAAATTGCGAAGCCAGAAACCCTGGCTGCGAAGATGGATGCTCAGTGCCACCCTGAGCAACACCAGGCACTCTAATACCTGGCCCAGCAGCAGACCAATCAATATCCCAACCAGCAGAGATTGCCAGTGAATGAAGATGTCCTCAGGCAAGCAAGGGAGCAGGGGGAAGGATGCCGGTTCGCGAAAAAGCGAGGATACCACAGCTGCAGCGAGCCCACCGTGAATGGCAGGCGAATGCGCGAGGCTCATGCGCCTTTTGAGCCCGCTTGAGAGCTGCAGCAGGCAAAGCATGAGGACATATTTTTTTGACACCAATTTCAGTCAAACCGCTGTTATTGCTACTTACATATGGCCCGGTCTCGTAACATCCCTAAATGTATGCAAATGTGAATCAGCTGCCGTCGAATGACGAAGTCCATTTCGCGTAGCCAGTGGGACAGTCAAATATCACCCACTTTAAGCTTATAAATTCCACCGTGTGAAGTGGCATAAGTGTGCTGCAGGATGCAGGATTCTAATACTAAGGGGAAAGGGTTTTCACATGGGAACCTTCAAGAAGAAACACATTTGTCATAATAGCGGCGTAGCATCATGTATGGGCTAGTGAATTGGGTCTTTGGGTACCTGTGGCAAATCCATGAGACCGGACAAAACCCACCTAATGCTTCGGGCAGAGTCAATGGGAGATACTTTCTGTCCACTGCAGCCAAGCTACCTCACGAGCTCTCCAGCATCATCCTGATGGGAGGAATGGCGGGAGGAATGGCAGCCTATCTGAATGCAACGTCAGGGAGCTGCTTGGGAACTACCACTATATAGCCTAGCGGCTGGCAGCCTGATGATTCAAATTGTCCTCCAGAAGCCAAGCAACATGGGGATTTAAAGTAAGGAACACTGACATAAAGGCTTCCCCACGAAGGCGCACCGAGCCTTCTTCTTCGCGGAGCGCGGTCTGGACCGCCGGCGCGGGGACGTTTCGCCTCCGTCTGCAGTTCAAATCCAAGGGGGTCAGGAGGCTGGATGAAAGTCAGGATAAATGATGAGAAATGGTCGTCAAGGTGCTAAGGTCTGACTCAGCAATGGCATTCTTCTCCACCAAAGAGGACCACCCCTTTCTTATAGATCAAAGGGAAAAAGTCGCTGGGGTCCGTAGGCAGCATCTCCAGCAGGCACCGTGTCCCAACAACCCGCAAGGTGTCCACCGTGTCCGGCGCCTCGTCGAGAGGCGTGGAGCCCGGCCAAGGCGAGGGCCACGGGCACCAAAGCGACCCGGAACTCGGCCCCAGTGGCCCGGGCAGGGCCTGACAACGCTGGGATGGCACCTCAAATATCAACTTATTCTTATTTCTATATGATGTATGCACTCATATACATTAGTACTTTGAATCCAATCTTCACTTATGTAGAAAGCGGACATGCCTTTTTGCATGCCCAAAAGTAGTGCTCAAGCATTCAAGGGTAACTACAGTTGCAGTGCCTTCGGCGTAGTGCCCTCATAATTTTACAGGCTACACAAAATGAACAGCAACCTATCATCCAATCGTCGATTTGGGTGAAGGTGCATCTACTGGAGCCACCTGTGAAGGGATTTTTCGCTGGACACCCCTTCAGGAACATCGCCTTAGGTCATTGGCATCCATTATGCCTGCTCCATGACACATGGTCAATCTACTTCAGGATCTTCAGGGTAACTGTGGCCCATGATCAGAATCTCTATATATGCAGATAATACACAGGTTGACATCATTTTGGCCCCTTGGATGTGCATATATTATCTCATAATATATAAGTTGATATACATATATATGTGCATCATCGTTGTAGTTGATTTGTTGAAACATATGATCATGTGCTTCATTAAACCGTAGGTGTTCCTTAACAAGTACAGTACTCAACTCATGTTTGACCACTAAATATCGATGTCTTCACCAGCTTCAAGTGTCCTCGATATTTATGTGAATATTGATGAGTAGTTACTATGTAGCTACTACTTATTGTTTATAAAAATTGGATCTACAGTAGCCTTTGTCTTTGTATGTTTTTGTTATTGCATCACCTCCTCTTTTAAGTCTTTAAGTCGGTTAACGGATCAAAGTTAGAAGCACACAGCCAAAGTGGCCAAGAACTAGCATCAACTACCACAGAACAAACTGCTGCACTGCCAGCTGAAAACAGGGGTATCCCCTGTTTAGCTGTCCAGTCCATAACCACGGAGAGACAATACCTGCATATACCTGCAACTAACATGTCCAGTCTTTGATCCCATCATGGCTTGGCGGCATGCAAACAATTCTGCCTCAGCGGCACACTGCCAAGCATCATACAGTAAAGACAAACGCGTTTCTCACATACAGTACTCAGCAAGAACATGATCACGATAATACAACATATCTCAAATAAGCAAGAGTTCTGCTCCAAACATGTTCAAAAAAATGTCGATGTTGCCAGGACCTTAGGTCCAAACACTAGCAGATTCTGGCATGGCCACCTGCGGCTTCCCTTCACCACCCTCCCCTCCATCGCCTGGTCCACTCCACCGTTGAGCAGCTCCGCGCTCCGGCCGTGGGGCGAACGGAGCCCCAGCGGGGCGGCTGGCGGCGAAGGCCTCCAACCTGAGTGGAGCGGCTCCAAGGGTCACTGTGCATGACCGTGGGACCAGTACACATACAAATACACACACACTGAAAGAATCCATAGAAGTGGATGACAGGGTCTCCCAAGGATGATCATGTTCCAAAGGCCAAACAGGTGGTGAACTCCACTTGCGTGTGAGTAACTCGAAGTGTCATGAATAGCCATGGATGCGTCTCTGTGTTAGCTTTCAGCACTATCATAGATGCAAAAACACCACCCCAAATACATGCCTTCCCATGGCTCGCATGCTGTGCTCTGAGCTCCGGGCGCCATTCCACCGGCGGTCGGCCGAGCACGCACCCCGTGCCCCCGCTGCGCTGTCGCTCGCTCGCTTGAAGGGGTGATCGGCCACGAACCGAGGGTGACGGGTGGCCCACACACATGAGTTTTAATGCAGGAACACATTGCCTAACCTTGACTGGGAGTTGAAGTCAAGATCCAAGACCAACACTTTAATCCTTGGATCTTGACTGGGCGTGGCATTTGGGAGTTGAAGTCAAGATCCAAGGTACGGGTGAGTATGGCTGGGAGTGGTTCTTGGGAGTTTCATACAGGCCATAAAGGGCCCAAGGAAGATGCTGGGTGAACATTGCCATGAAAACAACAGGTTTCAGCACTTGCGTTCCAGCAACTTGAAATCTGTACCCGATGGATCCATGTAGATCATGGAAATATCACAACTATTCTAACATGGCCGTCTCACCTGTGGGAAAGGACAAGCCCGAAGTCATTCAACAAGATTCTGTAGTCACTACACTACACATCGACCAGCCGATCGCATCGAAGACACTCAGGCCCAATCAACGAGTTCCAACGAAGCCCTGGAAGAGACCCACATGGAACCTGAAAAACCCCTGGGTTGTAGAGCAAAATCGTCTTGCAAAGGTCCATGCCATCAGGTTGATTCCATGTGGGCCTCTTCCTGGGTAGTGATGGACCACGTCGCTCAACCCCTGGACCGACGGCAGAACGCCCTCAGCCTCCGGCAGACATTCCTCGGAACGCCCCGTCGGCACGACCAGTTCCGGTCTCTGCGGTGGTCTCTGGGGGGTTCCGAGTAGTGACACCTTGAAGAGGGGCAGCTGTTGCGAAGCCTCCAAGGAGACCAATATCCGAGGTGACGAGTCCTCTTCGGGTGGTGGAACGCTGTTCGGGGATGCAACGCTGTACACTGGCGCTACGTAGCAGCTACTAGCACATGACAATCCAACCCAGGACATGCAGGCCAAGCGGTTTACGACTGTCTGGCTCGTAAGTTAAGAACCCAAAACACCACACCTTCTTGATGAATTCCGCTGGAGATCGCCCACATGTTGGGTGGCTGGATCATCAATTCCCGTCCCTTCGCAGGAGTTGGCGCAGGCTGTCCAAACTTCTTTGACTGATCATGCATAAAAGTGCCAAGGAGCTAAAGCTGGCTGCGCCCTCACCTGCTCCTGAGAGTGGCATTAAGAGGCTAAAAGCCTCTGACCATCTTCGGGCTTCTCACCAATGTTCACCCACAGAATAAGCTGTATTGTGGTGCATGTTACATGACTCATGAGGTCGCTTCTTGCACTGTTTCCAGGAAGTGGTGGGCTTCTCGGCTGAGGGACTACCGTCGCTCTCGGACCATCACGGAAGAAACCAGGAACCGTGGCAACCCATCCAACTAGGGGCGCGCACGCGCACGCTGGCGCCACGCAGGTGAAAGAAAAACCAGCGTCCGGACCAGTCCTGAGAGGCAGAGAGGAGCCGAAAGCCACCAGCGTGGGCCACCTGAAGTCCAGCAAATCCACTCCCCTTGATCTGCAAGGATCTGCAAGGAAAGTGCATTGATTTGCATGTCAATGTCCGAAGTGAATCTGAATCATTGTATTAGATGGAGGTTGATCTGCCTTTGGATGCCTTTGGGAGCCTTTCAAAGCTCTTCGATCACGACCTCTGACTTGATGTGTTTTGGGTAGGAGTCTGGTCGGAGGTATGAAATCAGTCTGGCTGGTCTGTCTGCTCAAAGCGAAGACTGGGGCAAGCACCCGCATTAGCAGCGACCTCGCGAGGCAAATGTCTAGATGAACAGGCCTAGAATGCCCAGCCACTACCTTTTGCAAGAAACTCGTGTTCATGGTGAGGCAGAGGGAGCGTCACCATGTGCTTTATGTTCCACCATATGGGCTGGATTGTGAATCAAATCCAACAACCACTCCTTGTTGCACGAACGGGCCAAAGCTCCACTTGCAGTAATTACATGCCTACCGGGATTCCATCGTCTCCATGCTATAATTACAAATTTTATCGAATTTTGGTACACATGGATTACTAAATGGTTCGTCTGTAGATGAAAAGCAAGAAGAAGCCACCACTTCCACCCGCTCCAGCAGCGCAGCTCGGTCGACCCGTCGATCGTCGATTCGTTGGTCCCGATCTCGGCGCCCAGCTCAACACGCAACTGCGTGCCCCCTGGGAGGAAAACAAGCTGGGGTTTTCACCGGGTTTTCACCTGAAGACTGACCAACGAATGCAACCCAGGTGACAAGGGCTAAGCCTTAAAGCAGCCTTTGTGAACATGGATGGCCAGAAGGGGGTTGGAATGGATGTTTCTGAACGAGGCAGGACTATGGGGTATCGGTTCATTCTGTGAAGGGCTCAAAAGTTGTTGGGAGAGTACAGTAGGATGAGACTGGATGAGGTTGGCAAAGTTCAGACAAAATTTGGATGATATGATACTAAAATAAATAAAACTATGTGACATATTATGAAATGATACTGCATGTCGTCTAGCAATGTCTAGCATTGTCCAGCTTGGTCAATCACTTCACCAATTCGAGGTTCTAGAGATGTCTCAGCATGACATCAACAACTGACTCCCATCGCTTGGTCCAAGCGCATGCCGCATCCTCCCCTTGGTGGTCGACAGGTCACCCTGTGCCCCCCTTTGGCGGTCGAACCTTTTGAGTGCCATTCACAAATCTGTTCCGCAAGGACTGGCAGTTGAACTTGGAGGTGGCATACCCTCCCAAACTCGTTCCTGGTAAAAAGAGGTCAAAGGCAGGCAGACTTGCCTTTCCCATCTCCGCCAAGTTGAGGAGGCATTTCAATTTCCATGTTGAAGGGATTTAACGTGACTTCATCCCAGTCCCTTTGGCGAACCAAAATCCTCTGACCACCGCGGTTGGGCGGGGCCCCGCACGGGTGAAGCCACTCAGGATGTCCATGCCTCAGCCCGTCCACCCTGGGAGGTCCGCGGGTCCGCGGTGTTGGACGTGGCGGGACGCGGGTCAGCTCCGAAGGACGACCAGCGACCGACCCCGCGGGCACTGGTCGGCTGGGCCCTCGGACCAAAGAGCCGCGACAGCTCCCCGGCGCGCGGGAAGATCTCCAGGACGTCCGAGATCTGGTACGGTGCGAAGTCATCCAGTCGGAGGCCGCTCTTTGTTTGTTTGGCGTGCTTGGAGTCCAAAAGTCACCACGGCTGCAGGGAACTGGTGAACTTTTTGACTTTACGGAATTGGTGTGTAGTCATCAAAACCTGTCAGCTCGCTGCCCACACCTCCAGGGACAGTGCTGCCAAATCGGCGACATGCTGCAGCAGCGCCAAGCGAAGGCTAGAGCTGCCCTGGATCTGCAGCACTTACTGCGAATCGGAAGGGATGAAGCGACCCAATGCGGCTCTGTCTAAAAATTCCGTGTTGATTTTGGGCATACATGGGCATAATATCCCAGTACAAGTAACAGCTGATGATGATGATGATGATGATGATGATGCTTTCCCCCAAAACAGTGCTCATCTGTATTTACTGACTCCTACTGCTAATGGGGACCCACTCTATAGGTGTGTGTGTGTGTCTTCACCACCCCCCTCACAAATCCATGTTTATATAGCTAGAAGTCATACCGCCCCCCGCAAACCTGCCAAAAGGGTACAGTAGGGTATCTTAGCCCTTAAGACCGCAGTAAACCCCCACACATGAACTTGTGCTAGAGAAAATAGAAGAAGCTTCCCCAAAAAAAATCTTGACCCGAAACCCCTCCGAGCACATCATGTGCGTCTTCATCCACTCAGCTTGGAGGATGGTTGGATGGCTTGTGAGCGGAACACCAGGCAAGGCCTTGCTCCAATGCTCGTCCATCTCCTGCAGGGAGATCTTGGGAAAGGAACGTCCCAGCCTCGGTCGGCGTTCGATTCGACCCGTGGGGGCCTTCCCAAACGGTCCGGAGAGGGTCCGCCTAACAGTTGGCAACCGTTGGGAGGCAAAGGGTTGAAGCCAAACACCTGCTGAGATTGGGCTTAGCAGCTTACAGTATCTTACAGTAGGTTGGTCACGATGGTTTTGATTGATTTATATTATATAACCTATTGAAACACTCTAGGCCTCTGGAGTGTTGCCCGAAAATGCGATGCCCCCCAGCATCATCTGGTTACAACATATTGTTACAACAGAAGAAGAACAACCGAGATGTGGGAGAAACATATGTATATATATATGAGTAATGTAGCTGTAGCTTCTACAACTCGTAAGACACTCAAACACATCCAGCATGTTGCCATGTCACATCCCCACCTCATCCCAGGTGATCCTGCCGATCGCTTCGGTGCTTTTTGCATGCTCGCCGCGAACGCCACCGAAGCGATCGGTCGAAGTCCTGGGCTTCCCCAACAGCTCTCGTGCCGCCTCCTGTGGAGCGAAGCTCCGCAGCTTGGCACCAAAGGTCAGATGCATCAGCAAACGCCACACCTGAAGAAGAAGCTGCTAGTTACAAGGGCATCGCTTTTGGAAAGACGGATTCAAGAGCGAGACATGTCCAGGGTTGAAAACGTTCCACCATGTTCCACTCATGTTCTTGGGATAGGCTTGTCCGTTTGGCAGTTACGAAGAGATTGACTTCCTTTGAGAAGTCCAAGTGGGAATGAAGATGGGACTGTGGTTAGCTTGCTTCGGGATAGAAGCACATTTGCTCGGTTCAAAGACACTCTCCATACAGAAGCACTTGCTATGGCTGCTATGGACATGGACAGTGTATATATGTTGTTTCACCTGCCGGGGACTGGGACTGTCCACGAAGCTATACAAGAAGGTGCCTGGTGATCAAATGTGCCGTGTGCCGTGCATCCAGTGGGTTGTGGAGAGGGGCAGGATTGGATCTTCGCCCAGGAGAGACATCTTGAGGCTGGACATCTTCCGACCTCGAAGCCTCAAGGCCCAGCCAGTCGCAAGTGAATCCTCCTGTCAATTCCTCGGTCCCTAGGGGTCCCAGGCATTGAGCAACATCCGCCCGGGCAGCTGCAGGTCGCT